ACGGGTGTCGGTGGTCCGGCGTTTCCAATCCGCCGGACCCCCGTACGAAAAGGGTGAAAGGGGCAGGGCGGTTCGGGAACGCCGGACCCCCGACCATGCACGGGTGTCGGAGGTCCGGCTTTTCCAATCCGCCGGACCCCCGTACGGAAAGGGCGGAGGGGGCAGGGCGGTTCGGGAACGCCGGACCCCCGACCGTGCACGGGTGTCGGAGGTCCGGCGTTTCCAATCCGCCGGACTCCCGTACGGAAAGGGTGGAGGGGGTAGGGCGGTTTGGGAACGCCGAACCCCCGACCGTGCACGGGTGTCGGAGGTCCGGCGTTTCCAATCCGCTGGACCCCCGTACGGAAAGGGTGGAGGGGGTAGGGCGGTTTGGGAACGCCAGACCCCCGACCGTGCACGGGTGTCGGAGGTCCGGCGTTTCCAATCCGCCGGACCCGTGCGGAAAGGGTGGAGGGGGTAGGACGGTTTGGGAACGCCGGACCCCCGACCGTGCACGGGTGTCGTAAGTCCGGCGTTTCCAATCTGCCGGACCCCCGACCGTGCACGGGTGTCGGAGTCGGACCCCCGACCGTGCACGGGTGTCGGAGGTCCGGCGTTTCCAATCCGCTGGACCCCCGACCGTGCACGGGTGTCGGAGGTCCAGCGTTTCCAATCCGCTGGACCCCCGTGCAGAAAGGGTGGAGGGGGTAGGACAGTTTGGGAACACCGGACCCCCGACCGTGCACGGGTGTCGGAGCCGGACCCCCGACCGTGCACGGGTGTCGGAGATCCGGCGTTTCCAATCCGCCGGACCCCCGACCGTGCACGGGTGTCGGAGGTCCGGCGTTTCCAATCCGCCGGACCCCCGACCGTGCACGGGTGTCGGAGGTCCGGCGTTTCCAATCTGCCGGACCCCCGACCGTGCACGGGTGTTGGAGGTCCGGCGTTTCCAATCCGCCGGACCCCCGACTGTGCATGGGTGTCGGAGGTCCGGCGTTTCCAATCCGCCGGACCCCCGCACGGAAAGGGCGGAGGGGGTAGGGCGGTTCGGGAACGCCGGACCCCCGTACGAAAAGGGTGAAAGGGGCAGGGCGGTTCGGGAACGCCGGACCCCCGACCGTGCACGGGTGTCGGTGGTCCGGCGTTTCC